TTCCAATACAGCCTACATTCATCACCAGATAAACACTCTTCTTTCCTATTCAATTACCTTCCTTGGCTCCCTACTATCTAGTAAAGTCCAAAATATCCTTTCGTCTCATATCCCAAAACCTTCCACAAGCAGGCCCCACACTTCCTCCTTCGACTCGTCTCCTACTGCTCCCTAGTGTAAAGGCTACATTCCAGCTAAATTTAGGCCTGTTGACCTCTGAAGTACCAGGACTAATCTCAATCAAAGTCCAACCATCTTCCAAGGACCAAAACAGAATACAAAGACCATTCAATAGATGTGTCCTATCAAGTAATGCACAAAAGAAACATAATTACTGGGGCACCTGGGTGGCACAGCTGGTTAAGTGTCTGACTCTTGGTTTCACTCAGGTCATGATCTTGGGGTAGTGAGATCAAGCCCCTCACCCAGCGGGAGTCTGCTTAAGATTCTCTCTTTCCCTCTCCTTCTGCCCCTCTTGCCGCCTGTGTGCACTTTCTCTCTTTAAATAATTTTTTTTAAATCTTAAAAAAATAATTACAAATACACAGAATGGGCCATATAAATAAGAACTGATTATAAAGTATTCTTCATAAAAAAAATTTGCACACCCAAGTGACAAACCATATTCCATAAAATTCATGACACCATTCATTGTAAGAGACACAGCACTCTGCCAATCAAGCTATGACTCATACATCAGAATTTTTCTTTTCTAGTTAAAGAATTCTTAGATTTATTTAGGTATTCTATGCATAAATAAATACACAGAAACAAAATAATTTGGCCGAGGTCAGACTCTGCCTCCTTTGAATTGCAGGCCAACTCAGTTATTACTGTCCATGCTTTCCCACAATGCCATCCCTTATGCATCTTTATCAGTGAGGCACCATTTCTTACCAGTGCCCGTTACTACTCCACGATTATCTTCCAATCACCTGACATCCAATCTCCAATTTTGGACGCATGCTCCAATCAGTGGAATCAGTTGCCTGCTTTCTCTGCCACATGGCTGAGAGCAACGGTAAGTCATATCTCTAACTCAGACATGTTAAAATGCAAAAATATGTTTGTTGTAGAAATGATGACATTGGGGTTTGCACAGACACAGAGAAACTCACTGTTTGATAATGTAAGCACTATGTACAAAAATGACCAAAGAGGAGAGACCTACAATAGAAAATAGTTTTTCTCTTTTTAGTCCAACGTCAGGATCAATATCATCACCCAGCCCTAATCCATTTTCAGCTTCTGTCACACACCAGTCCAATCCCCTTCCTCATCTTCTGAGAATTCCCTCTACACTGATGTCCTCCATGACACCAATTAGAGCCGGCAGGAAAGGAAGCAGGCCGCCTGCAGATCTTCCCTTAAAGAAGCCATTCTTGTTTCTCTAGGTACCTGCAGTATTTTCTTCTCTGATATGGCAAAACCTCCAGAACCTACCTCATTCAAGCTATGGGCAGAATAGCAAGCTTGTTATGAAGAGGATCATGCCATTAAAAATAATGACTGCAGACATGGGTCCAGTAATTCTCATTTTTAAATAGAGTAGCAGTGCCTTTGAAGCCTTTTCAAATATTTCTTGTAGTGAAGCATAAGTCACAAATGGCCTCATTTTTCATTCAAGTCCATAAATATTTACTCAGTGCTATAAGTGTTTAGACCTGTACTTGGTTTGGGGATGAAACTCCAAGAAAAATAAGTTCCTACTCACATCATGCACTCACTCACTCAGTAAAACTGGAGAGAAAAATAAATACACGAAGCAGTTAAATATTGCATTTTTTCCTAGGTCCAGTACAGACCTTTCTGCTTTTTTTTTTTTTCTTTTTTAAGTTTGTAAGGAAGAGCTGTAAGAACAATGTATCAAAATGTCAGCAATCTAAAAATTAAGTTGTCAGCTTTTTCTCTGCACTGCAAATTACAAAAGAATTAGAGGTTTGGTGCTAATAGAAGCTTACAATTCTAAAGTGTGCAATTTAACCAATCACCGCAAGGTCTAAAAATGCAATTCCGAAGACCTTTCCACCAAGTGATCTGCAATTTCAACTTCTTTACTTGTGTCATTCTTCCCATTTTCCCCCCTTGCTTTGGAAATTGTTCTGGAATCGCTACACAGTGAAGAACTGCCCAGAGCCTCTACATGCATAATACACTCACATGAAAAAAATGATAGTCATCTTGACCAAGGAGGTATAGAAAAGACAATGAAGATCTGCAGCTATTCCAGGAGTCTTCATTTCTTCATGCTCATGTCACATTACATGCAGAAATCAAAACATGTAATGTACTTTACAGTTTCAGAATTTCAGACTTCCTTTTGTAATTTATTCAATACTAATTTGGGTGAAACATGCCTGTGATCATCTGTGCACTAGAAATCTAAGTTAGGATTAAAATGTTAAATTATAAAATAATTTGAACAATTTAAATGGAAATCAATTACCCCAAATCACTGCAGATATCTTGTAAACTTGTGAGATCTCTAGCTTTTTCCATCATTGCCAATTGCCATCACATCACTCAAAAATAAATCGGAAAGAACACCGCCTACACAGAAAACACACTATCTTTATAGACAACACATACTTTTAAAAGACAATACTAATAATCTAAACCAAAAATTTAGCAAGAATGCTATTTTAGTACAAAGAATAGTAAAAAAAAAAAAAAATACTGGCTCTGTGCATAAACAAAAATATAGACTCATTATTCTTGCTCTCTGGATAATTTTTTAAATGGCCCTTTTTAAAGATTACGTATAGTGTTTTACCCAGTAAAAGGGAAATTCAATGATTTCTACTATTTCACACACACACACAAAAAAAACAACCCTCTTCTTCCTTGATCTATGAAACACACTTTCCTATGCAGCCTTGAATTCACATCTACCTTCCCATCCTCCAAACAATACCTTATGGTGCAGTTCAACTTGCGAAAGGAGAGTCTCGTTCATTTATCAGGCAAAGTTAAAGCCAGCAAGATGCTTCAGACCGTCTGGTTTTGCCTGCCCCACCCTTGTTTCCTTTGAGCCATAGTGATGTCACAACACCAGGCAGGGCAATGACTTCACTGCTCCAGTCCTTGCTTTTGAGCACACAATTCTTTGCTGCCAAGGCAAATCAAATGACAGCAGAACACTCCAAGAGTGCCTGACGAATTCCCAACAAATTAGCGCTAGCAAGCCTTTTGAAAGAAATAGATGCAGCAATTGCACCACTAAAGATCTCTCTAAATGAAGTGGTGCTAAAGATTAATTTGATTCATGGTTTTCAATAGTAAGTCTATATCCCATAATAAAGCTGACATTCAGGACAGAACGGTGTCTGGATACTTGGAAGGCACTATGGGAACCAAAGATGTCCAGGACAGTCAAGTAAATAAGTAATATCTCTCTTCATTATAGCCAAATTCTCACAAATTCTCTCTCTCAAACGTATAGTTTTCGGCTTACTCCTGAATGAAGTTCTACGTCACCAATTGGACATGAATTCTAATTTGTGAATTTTAAGACTTTTTTTAAAGCACTAACTTAAAAGATGAATATGTATATTACAACATGTAAGACCATACCCTGGACAAAAAGTTCCTGCCATATTTAATCAACATAGAGTAAATCCAGAAAAGATTCACAAACTGATGACAATATTACATCTCTCAGTACATGAAGGGTTGCTTGTCTTGCACCTGGGCAGCCCCTTAATGCATTTGACCAAACAGTTCTAAAAAAAACCAATGTATACATAAAATAGTTTCTAATCAAGTAAAAAAAAAAAATTCCCTGGTCTCCTATTTCAACACAATTCAAAGTTGGCCAAAGTCCAAACCCTATACAAGAACTGGCAAAAACTGCCTCTAACCTAAAATCACATTCATGCAGAAGAAATGACCTGAAAATTAAATGTAAATACTTTGCGGAGACACTGACTTTTGACCTGTATCTTCTCAATCCTTCACCTAAAAGGGGTTCACAAATTAAATAATGTGGCTACTTTTTATTACTGATAAATCATTCACAAAACATGTTCTTTTGCAAAAAAGTATTTGTCTGAAGCGGATTAGCTAGCTGAACTTAATGCAGTACCTTGTGCCTCTGATATATTTTGCTTTTCTAAACCACCAAAAAATTATAATGCAAATAGAACAGTATTCAGAGATTTTTTTCATCAGTGCCTTGTGAAATTAACAAATTAAAGTTACTGTTTCTCAATCTCAGTTTATTTCCTCTCACAATTTTATTATTCCAACTTAAGTTTTAAAAGTTTGAAACCAAAATTAAGATACATTTTTTAAAAACCCTGTTAGAGCCAAGGTATAAATCGCCTCCCCACTCCCCAGAGTTTACTCAAGCTTGAGGTGCTTCCCTTTCTTAATGGGGCTTTTTTTGCTTAATTTGCAGTAATTGGTGCTGGATCCAGGGCTCCCAGATAGAAGTGGAATTTTATAATTTTGGATTTCTTGAGGCTTTAAACATCAGACTAAGACCCCCAAAAGAATGTTTTTAGCACTTAGTGTGATGACTCTTCTACTAGGAATGTTCACGCTTCCAAGGGAAACTCCAGGACACCTGGCTGCCTCTGAGAGCCTAAAATGGGCCCCCAAAAAGGTCAGGCAGGATATCTGCAAAAGCAGTTCTGCAGGACTGCAAGACTAATGTAAAAACACTGAAACACCAACTTAAACACGTAATGGAAGCACTGCACTAGCAGGACTGCCTTGCCCTCTCGGGATTTCCCAGCCCAGCCTCCACACGTAATTAATACCACATGTTTTCTTTATCATTCTGTTAGTTCTCCAACAATCTCTTTCCAGCTTTAACCCTGGGCTGCAACTGGAGGAGAAAACCCTAGAAAACTTTGGATCCGTAAATATAAAACCCCAAAAGGAAAGACTGCTCCCACTGCAAGGGACCAGTTACAATTTACTAGGTAACCACACCCACCGCATTGCAGAAGCCATGAACTTGGAAGAGGTTGGAGGGCAGAGGGGAAAGGGGGAGGGGAAGAAGTAGGGCAAGATGAGAGGGAAAAGCCGAGAAAGCCAGGCCCCGCAGCAGGAGCGGGGAAACACCCGCCTGGAATTGGCCGAGACCACGACTCCCGCGGTCCGATGGCCCGGCCTCCCCACCCCCACGCGCCGCAAAGCCGCCCTCGCAGACACCTCCCGAAGCAGCTCGCAGCCCCGCGGGCGCCAGGTGAGCAGTGCCGCTCCCCGGCCCCTCCGCCTCCCCGCGCTCCGGCTTTTGTGCGGGGGGCCAAGGGAGCGCAGGCTGGGGCGAGGAACGCCGCAGGTGCCGGGCCAGGAGCAACCTCTCTAGGACGCTCCCTCCTCCCTCAGCGGCCGGGCTGCAGCTCCCGCCGCCGTCCGAGGGGACGCCGCCCCAGTTCGGGGAAGGAGACAAGTTACATAAAAGCGGCCGGCCCGCTGCCGAGCCGGGATGCTTTGCGGCGAGCGCACCTTACCGGCCCCGCGCCGCGCCCGCCCGCGCCGGGCACCCGGGACGACCCCGCAGCCGCGTCGCGCTGGGCGCAGGGCCCCTCCCGCCCGCCGGCAACCGCCCCGGGCGGCGCCGCAGTGTCGCCCCCGGTCCCCCGCCCCTCCCTGCGCAGCCCGCCTCGCCCTCGCCCCCGCCCCCGGCCCAGGGGTAACTTAAAACATGGCGCCCCAAACGGGGGATTTGGGCAAACTGGCACTTAAGGGACGCGGGGGTCGCGCCGCCCCTCCCTGCCAGGGCTCCGGGGAAGGCCCCCAGGCCGGAGGCCGATGCTCTGGCTCCGCGCGCCCGCCCAGCCGATGCTGCAGCGCTGCGGGCGGAGCGGGCACGTCCCCGGCGGGGGGCGCAGCGCACCGGCTTGGCCCGGCCCAGCGGGGGTCCCGGCCGGAGGGCGGGCGGGTCCCAGGGCCCGGCCGGGTGCTGGGCTCCCGCGGTTCGGGCGGCCGTGCGGCGCGGGAGCCACGCGTCAGCCGCGCACCGCGCGCGCCTCGCCCCCGGCCTCCCGCTAGTCCTCCGCGCCTCGCAAACCGGAGACCCCCTCGGATCCCCGCCCCCCTCCGCTCCGGCTGCCAGAAAAGTTACCTCGGCTGGGCAGGCAGCCCGCGCGCCGCGGCGTGGGGACGAGGCTCGGGCTGGCGTCCTCCCGGCTGTGCGCAGGAGGCTCCGGCGTGGGGAGGAAGCCGCAGACGCGGGCTGATCGCCGCCGCTCCCCGCCCCCCTTTGCAGGCGGCTTGGAGGCTCCGCGGAGCTGCGGCGGGGGCACACGCCCAGAGCCGGCGCAGAGAAAGCCAACCCTGTCCTGCCGTCGCCTCCCAGCTGCGGGGGAGGGGGCCACCGCAGCACTCCAGGACAGTTAGGTTGTAACAGGCTTCTCCATCCTGGCGCAGGGTCTGGCTCAGGGACAACGCCTCGAGACCGTTGCCAATAGCGTTAGACTTTGGATTTCCACTTTAGATTACAGCCCAGGCTTTCTGTCCCATTCCTTATGCCTCCCAGACACCCCCTGTAAGGGGGAGGGGGGAGGGTGTTCCTGGCCATCAGGTGAGTAATTTACTGGCTCAGGGGCTGCAGTGTTTGTTTGTTTGTTTTTCTTTTTTAAAGAAAAAAATAATCAAATTGGCGGCGTCTTGCGCAGGGTGGGTGTTCAAGAAATATCAAGTTAGTAGGGAACACCTGAATTAAAGGTTGAAGGAAGAGGTTTCCTGTCTTTCGGCAGCCCCCTCCTTCCCATTTTCTCCTTTCTCTCCACCATCAAGATCCAGTTACAGGTGGTCTCCCAAGCTTCCCAGTCTATCAGGGGAGTAAGTCATTGATCAGGCTTTCAGCTGAAATTGGGGGGGGGGGGGGTGCTCACGCTCTGATTTACAGGTGAAAGAAATTATTCCAGGTCATCTCACAATAAGCTCTAATCAAGTAACCAACTCATATATATTAAAATGTTTAAGGCCCTCTTTAAATAGTCCTGATCACCCTTTCAGGAGCTCAGCCACTCAAGGTGGCAGGATGGATTCACAAAAATAGTGCATTTACTATTGGGTGCCAAAGATGTGGTGCAGAATAGGAGGCAGAGATTAGTAGGCTGGGTCTGTCAGTGAAGCCTCTGGAATTGGGGAGACTTGGCCTGGGTTTTTAGGACAGGGCAAAGGCAATAGAAAAGGGGAGGGGGCATTTTTCTGGTTGCATGGGAGAGAAAATTGGAAAACCATGGTTACTATGTTGCTATGGAGTTTGTGAAGCTGTATTCAGTAGAAGATGTGCACCTTTGGGACATTTTAAGCAAGAAAACGTGGCTGAAGTTTTGTTAAAGGAAAAATAATGTGGTGACTTGGAGAATGGAGGGGCAAATACAAGGAGCTGATATAGGAAGGGATTGTGGCATTGTTCCAAGTACCACAGGTAACAAGGACCTGAACTGTCAAGCGACAGATAATGGTGATAGTTCAAATACTGGAAGATAGATTTGGGGATTACCTATATTAATTTTCTATCAGGCCACAGGAATATTACAGACATATATACACATCTCACATTTGTACCTATATGGCTGTGTGTGTGTCATATAAGATCTGTGAATGAAGAAAGGGTTTTTTTCCTTGTTTGTGTGTACACTTAAATACTCTCCTTTAAAAGTGGACTTGAACGGGGCGCCTGGGTGGCTCAGTCGTTAAGCGTCTGCCTTCAGCTCAGGTCATGATCCCAAGGTCCTGGGATCGAGCCCTGCACTGGGCTCCCTGCTCCTCGGGAAGCCTGCTTCTCCCTCTCCTACTCCCCCTGCTTGTGTTCCCTCTCTCACTGTGTCTCTGTCAAATAAATAAATAAAATCTTTAAAAAAAAAAAGTGGACTTGAACAAACTGTATTGTTTACAACAAACACTAAGCTGGCATTATCATTTCAGACACAGATGGCTTCATATTTTCATTCATTTTATTGCCATATTTTTGCTACTTTTTTTTAATTGAAAGCAAACTGTTTTCTCCCTGATTCATGAATCTTAATCTTTCTGGTGATGGAGAAAATCAGCAAAAATGTACAGATGTCTATTTTCTTGGGAGAAAATGTTAGAATACTAAATACTATTTTTTACAAGTTAGAAGTACCTCGCTAATTATCTGAATATTCCATGAATTCAAAATTTGGAGTAAAAACCATACTGCTTCATAGTTTAATAGTAAATCTGGGAAGTAATACTATGAAAATCTTTGGGCTTGACCAAGGCTTTCAGCTCTTCTTTTTTGACTTTCCTGGCACAGATATGGAGAAAAGAAATGCCAAATAAAAACTTGTGAGCAGCACAGAGCTCTACCAGTAACTTGCTCACATCTCTGTAATAAATCCTTTTTCTTCTACCTTATTAATATCATGCAGGAGCCTCTCGTCGTCATCTCTGTCTCCCCACAGTGCCTCACTGAGTACATTGCAAGCCAAGCACTGAACATTTTCGCTAAATGAATGGATGTTGGCTAATGAACTAAGTTGTCACTATATTTGAGAGTTGAGTTTCCTCTTGTATAAAATAAGAGATTAATTCCGAAATTCTTATGCTTCAAAAGTACTAGGGGCCTATAAAATAAAACGACATTATCACATCTCTACCTGCTGAGTAAAAGCAATAATGAAAAACCTTTTTAACTCTTATCAGGAAATTTAATTATGAGCTTTTCTACATGGAAAAGAGAAGGAAAGTAACAAAATTAAGTAGAAGGCAAGGTGATGATCCCATTACAGTTGGATTTGCTTTCTTTCATAAAGACTTAATTCCTCCCTGCATTCCTCTCACTAACAAAAATGAAGCCTCCTATAGCCCCAGAGAATTCTTTATTCTTACCAGTATGAAACCCCTTCTGGTGCTTTTTCAGTAAGTTTTAGAAAAGTAGTCCTTGGGTCAAGGGAATGCTTTTCACACAGTCCTAGAGCCAGTGCAGATTGAACCCAGTTTATCAGATTTCTGCTTTATTATATCTACATGGCAAATACTGAAATAATCCATGATATGTGGGGAAGGATTCCATGACTCCAGCCTAGGTCTCATGATGCCCTTTCTGGTCTCAACCACCATACTAAGGCTTACCTTACAACATTATTCTTATTTACGGGCTTTCTGAAATTATTCTGTTGTATACAAAATATATTACTGAAGGCCAACAAGCCATCTAGAATTCTAGCCATGGTACAGAGAAAGGGAGCATAGCTAACTTCTGGTAAGATAATGCATGTGTGGAACTTCATCCCAAACCACAGAGACAGGATGTCCCCCAAAGCTCCACCGAGCCCCAGGTGCCAACAGCGTGCTGACTCATTGGTACTGGTACTCTGCTGCCTGCACTGCAACGTAATTCCCACCTGATAGCCAAGGCAGAGGCAGAATTTGCAGATTGTGTCATATTGTCAGCCTCATCAACAAGACTCCAGAAAGAAATGGTGCAGAACCTGGCCAGTGACTACATCGGAACTTTGCCTTTCAGCGTCAGCATTAGAAGAGTATCTTGAAAGCCTAACCAAACCCTACAAAGGTGGCTACCTTAATAGGCATGCAACACTCATTTGCCCTCTTTGACAACCTCAGACTACTGTCACATAAAGCACTGTGGTCTTTTTAAAAATGTCCATATTCTCCAGTACTTTTAAGTTGACTGTTTTTCAGCCTAAGATGCCTTAGTAGGATGTTAACAACACTTGGAGTAACTAGTTGGACATCTTGTATGTTCAGGATCACGTCAGGCACCTCCATTGCATATTAAGTCCTTGAAATCAGGACACAAAGTCTTTCGCCACGGCCTTATGGGGACCATAAATAAGAGAAATATGGGGATGAATGCTTAATTCAAAAGTAGCAAGCTTATTCTTATGAAATAAAAATATGTTTAAGAGTTTCTAGGGCTTGAGAATACTGTCAAGTTTATAGCTCATTAACGCTTCCAGATGCTCTCTTCATTCAGGGTTTGTATACATCATTTCAGGGGTCTGTATACATGCAGAGCACAGATGCAAAATGAAGTAAAAAACCACCCATAATTATAAACGCAGCATAAAATGTACAAAAATATGTACACATGAGAGGGAACAAGTTTAGACATGCCTACACATCATTTTAAAAAATCATTCCTATTCATCAGAATTTCCTATTTGCCTCCTCTCTCTCTTTAGGTTATACTTGTATAAAAATACAGGTCATAAAGGTGGGACCAATACATATTGTATAAATTCCACTGTATTAAAATATACACTTACTGGATTTTTTAAAATTTTTTTCCATTTCAAGTATATTTTAGAAATCTCAGCCCTTTTAAATAGAATAATTTTAACAAAAAAAATTAAGGTTATTCTAATCCTCAGTTCTTTATAAAGTTTAAATGCTCAATTCTCTTCTCCCCTTGAGTAAAAATAGAAATCCATTAAGACTATTTTATATTTGGCCAGTATATATATAATGGCAAAATACAAAGAATGGAAGTTGGTAATCTATAAAATTACTAAATTCAACTCCCAAACTGTTCATCATCTGAGACCACAGTGATATCCCAAACATGATCAGTATTAGGTTTTACTAAGACACTTAACATTTCAATCACTTTCCCCCAAAAGACATAAAATAAATGCCAGCAAGCCTCTCATTCTCCTATAAAGTTGTAAATAATCCTAACCAGCTATTATATTTTGTTTTAACAGCAATCAATAAGAAAGAGCTGAAGGAAAAAAAAAAAAAAGAATTAGCTGAAGAAGAAAAAAATGGGTAATAAGACACATTCAGATGTCTCGTTTATTAACTCTCTCTTCAGGCAAACATGCCATAGTTAACCTATAAACTAAGAAATGTACAGCTATGACTACACCAAAAAAAATTGTCAGCTTTGCTTCTTAATTTGATCCCTACTTTCTAGCACTTTTTTTTTTCTTTCTAATTACCTCACTGTACTTGCTTACTTTAACAGTGTGGGTACAACCTACAAATGTGATTCCACTCTAGTCCACAGCTTCCAGAATGTTCTGGGAATCAATGAAAATACCATCTAGAATATCTGTGTTCCTTGTAATAAATCTGGCATTTAATAAGTCAAAGCCATTTTGTTAAAAAGCTTCCTCTACTGACTCTTTTCCTGTTGAAGATGTTTATCAGGAACTTGGAACATGCAAGGTGGGCTTATCTGCAGATGATACAAATCTGAGAAGGATGCCAGGGTTCCTCAATCCAGGTTGTTTGTAAAGAGCTTAAATTTTATATTTCCATGTCAACAATAATCTTGGAAAGTGATAGAAGTATTCACACCATTTACATCAGAAGCACTCAGAGTGCTTGTTAATATAACCTATTCTTGGGGTCCAGCCCTAGACTAAGCAAATCAGAACCTCTGGGGTCCAGAGAGCAGGCACTTTTAACAAGGTCCCCAGGATCCAGGAGACCAGTGTACAACAATAATCCCACAGGGAACAAAGTTAGTGTACTCAGATGTTTCATAGAAGTTGGAACAGAGACGAGTGGTAGGAGGTTAGCCTCATTCAGCCATATAAGTAGCAGAACTAAAGGGAGTCTACACTACAAGTCAGTATACATATTGCAAGAAGAGTTATTGCTTGGATCCTGTCGTATGCATCAATTTGCAACAGCAGTTCATTAGCAGTAAGTATAGTAATAAATAACAATGAAAGATTGTTCTGTACCCAATTCCAGCAATAATTGGATTAGATGCCCATTTACTGAAGATTGCAGTAAAACTACAACTCTGACCTTAATTTCCAAGTGCACAAAACATCTTTACAAAGTTGCCAAGGGATGTCTCATTAAAACAGGAAATGGAGAACTAATTGCTGGCAGTTTTGGTTAAGTGTGAGATTTGACAATCTCAAACCCTGCAAATAGAGACTTTATTAATACCTTTTGGTATAACATACATATGCAAACAGACACCCCCTTAGAGGAGGAATTTTGTTCAGAAAAACAATATCATTAATCCCATTAAATTAATGATAATTTTATTGTAAGGGTCTTACATTTTTCATATGGATTTGTAAGGTTCTTTTAATTTTATAGTTGATGAGATCTATAAGCATGAAAAAATGTTATTCTAGCATTATGCCTACATATATCTAAGTAGCAAGACAACATGGGGGCACCAGAAATAGTTTCTTTGGGTAAAAGGATGTTAAAGAACGAGATTTCAGCTCAATAAAAGGACTGCTAATGTAATATGGACCAGGTTGTCTTATGCGCAGTAGGCTCTCTACCTAGAATGTTCAAGGAGATACCATAATGTCAGTATGGCCCTAGAGCAGAGTCCTCTGTCAGGTGGGCACTTAGGCAACGTCATATTTAAAGTTGTGTCCAACTCTGAGATCAAATTGCTTTCCATGTGTTTGCCACTCAGGAACCAGGAATTGTCCACAATTCTTCACTGTTGAGGTAGAAACTCAAACGTTGACTTCATTAAGATACACTGATAGATATATATTTACATGTTACAGAATAGCCTAGAAAACTTCTTTGTTATAGTTTGAGATTGATTTGTCATTGGTTTAGTGCTTTTTCTCTGTAAATCTGATGACAATATCCACCTCTATTCCCCTCCCACATGTTTCTCTAATTCATCAGTCGAATCTACTTGTCCCACCCTTGCTCATCAGACCTTTCTTATCTCTGAGCCAGGTTTTACTGAGTGGCCTTAGGTGGCTGAGAATGATGTTGAGTCAAGGTATAAAGATTCTGAATAGGAAACCATTATTTTTTCAAGCCTTTTACTAAATTTTTTCCAGGTGTTCCAATGCCCATTTCCAAATTATTCCACTGTTCAACAAAATCAAGCAGGCATACACCTACTGTATCACATATACGTTCATGGACACCATTAGAGCCCAATGAACAGAGTACTAGACGATAAAATCATTATGTGGCCTTGGGCAAATTTTAGCTGTTCTTTTATCAATATCCATTGAAATACTCCTTCCATTTTCTATTTTACTAGAACAACATGATGGTTCTCAACCATGGCTGTACATTAGAAGAATCACCTAAGGGAACACTTAAAAAAAACCACAACTGAAGGTGAGTATCATGCCTGGGTGATAGATCCATATGGGCTTATTATTATAATTCTCTTTACTCTGTATACATTTGACATATTAAAATATAATTTTAAAATGCTGATGCTTGAGATCTATCCCAATTCAATTAGATCACAACCTTTAGAAAGAGCCTCAGGTATCAGTATTTGGTGACCTTTTCCAAGTGGTTTTTGTGTGTAGGTAGAGTGGAAGAACAGGAGTACAAATCACAAAACTGAACATTAATAATTCCTCAAAAGCAAGACGCCGTAAAAGTAAATGTTAATAGAATTAATATAAATTCTTAATAAAAACCAATTAATAGATATTGACTACCTATTTATATCCTTAAAAAAAAAATTGCCTGAAGTACTTGATAGCAGCCACTGGATTAAGCATGCATGCACCCATCATCCTCTATAAAGCTAGCTGGTGTTTGAACACACGTTTGGTTTCCTGGGCATTGCCCGCCATCAGATTTGTTGGTACTCACACTCCTTAGGGGAAGCCTATTACTGTAGCTGGCTGCCCACTTCATTGTAATGTGTCAATAAAATGATGGCATATTTAACAACAGGCATAAAGAACTCATAACACACTAAATATCATGACTAGGATTTCAACAACTCTTCAAACTCTCCAGAGGAAAAAATATCATTCATGGTTTTATTCCAAGTTCTTGTGTGAGATAGAGAAAATGCACATACGCACTCAGGTTTATCTTAGGTAATAAATAATAGAAGGTCCCAGCATGTACTTTTTGATGAAACAGATAAAAATACCTGAAAAAATTAGAGGGGGTCTATAGGGAATCATGTCTAAATAAACCTAATCTTAATGTTTTATGAATGGGAGCTAGCGACTTTCCCCCGGGCGGGGGAGGGGGGGAGGGGGCGGTTCAGACATTGAGATACGACATCGTGGTGCCCAGCCGAGGGATCATTATTTCTACTCAGAGTCAAAATGTATTGATCATTTACTTTGTGCAAGGAGCTGTTTTACGAGCCCTTGTTCTATGAGACTACCTCATTTTACCATCACAAGAACTTTGTGAGATAGATTCTATGATCACCCCTATTTTACAGAATGGGGAAATGAGGCAGAAGCAGGTTCAACAATGTGTTCAAGGAGACACGATGACTGGTAGAGCTAGGATGGTCTGGGGTGATCTGATTCCTCAGCTGGACATGGAAGAGCTCTCACTAGAGAGCCAAACACACACACACACACACACACACACAATTTTACAGTACAATAGTGCACTGCAACGAGCAAACATTGCATCAGCTCGGAAGGCAGAGTAGCACTGAGTTAAGGAATGACTTTCCATTACCATGGGCATTTTAGAGAACTAAAAGTCCCTAAGAATACTAATATAGAAAAAATATTCAGGTCATTTATAAGTTTAAGAAGCCACTAAAAGAACTTAGGGCAAATGCTAATAAAATCATTATTATTAATTTTTCTTTAATACACTATGGACCACACATTTTTAAGTGCTTCATATGTATATTTTCTCTTTTTCCTCACAGTTTTATGAGGCGGGAACTCTTATGATCCCCATTTTAGAGAAGATAAAACTGAGGCAGCTGAGCCGCTAACTAACTTGTCCCTGGTCACACATCCGGGACCAGTCAATTTTATTCTGCAGCCTGCACTCTTAACCATGATGCTAAGTTGTTCTTATACAATTCCATATGTTCAGTTGGAATTTCCTCTACAGGAAAGGAAATACTACATTTAAAAAGTGGTAGCATGTGTGGAATCCTTATATAAATATGTATCTATTTTACTAGGAAGACTATTCTACCGTTTACAACTTGAGAAAAAGACCAAAGGGGAATGTTCTGGCCCCCTGGTAAATCCTAGTGGCCCTACCTTCAACATATATCCAGAATATGACCACTTCGCTTCACACCTGCCACTAGCAGTCTGGTGTAAGCCATCACCATCCCCCGCCTGGTTCCTGCAACAGCCTCATCACATCTCTCTCTTCTGCCACCGTGAGTCCTTTCTAGTCATTCTCCAGACAAGTGTTGTGATCCTACTAGAACTAGCCAGATCACGTCAGTCACATATGTTCAAAGCCCCCCTCCGGACCTGCATCATCCAGCCTCAGGGCATCTGACCCCACCATCTGGGCACATCTCCCGGCCATACTCCTTGTCTCTCTCACTCTGGTCTTGCAGGTCCTCAGACAAGCCGGGCTTCTCTCATGCTAACATCCTCATCTCCTTCACGTCTGCTCATGTGTCACCTTCTCCAAGGGGCCTACCCTGATAATCTTATTAAACCTGTGACCAGGCTACCCCAGCACTCCTACCCCCTTATCACCTAACATACCTGTCAATTCCTTATTTATCATGTTTATTGTCTGTCTCCTGCCATTCAATTAAGTCCCACAAAGGCAGGGGTTCTGGGCTCCTCTTCACTGGTGACCCAGTTGCCTAGAATGGTGCCTGGCAGAGGGAAGGCATTCATTGTACATTTGTTGGATGAAAGGATGAAGAAAGCAGCAGGGATTATAAAATGTGAGACTCTGAGAAAATACAGAATTGAGGAGTTAGGTGCCCAGGATTGGGATGAGACACCAGAAGGAAGAGATTCAGAAGGAAGAAACTATAAGAACGGTGGGCCTATGATAAAAGAATGTGCATGGTTCTATGCAGTATACCTCCTCCACAGCCACTGGTGGAACTGATTTGGGCAAAATCTCCCAACCACCCAACAGGACTCCCCAGCCTCACCCCTGAACCAACACAGATGATGCCAGCTGGGTGCATCTCCCACCACGTCCTCAGAGATGAAACAATGGTAAAGCCACCCCTCCCAAAATGCCACTGGGTCATTTCTTAACATCAGAGTGGATTTAACCAGCACTTATCTTCTCGGGACAAAAGAAATTATGACAGGATCCAAGCAGGACCCTCTTTAGTCATCTGCACAAACAATGAAATTGACCACTGCGGTGGAAAATGTCAGATCAACCGAAGCGGAAGTGTCCAGGCTAATATTATTTTTCATATCAATGGTTGCCATGGTGATACTTATAAAGATTTAGCAACAATCAGGCAGTGAATTTAAGAGGCTGCTGGAGGAAAAGAAGTTGTAACGTACCCTCTGTCTTCACAAATCACTCTCATCCCACTTGTGCCCAATAAATGGCTCACTTCTTTTGATTGCACTTGGCATGCCCATGAAAGATGAGTTTTCGATTCTGTAATTTCAAGCTTGAAGCCCATACTGTGTTTTTCCATTTGGTCTGCATTAAGGATTTATTCAGTGTTTCATGGTGTCTTTCCAAGGTCACCAGGCCATTCCCTCATCTGCCAAGAATGTCTCCTCATCCCCAGCCTCTTCCTCTGCCAGAGCACCCAAGTTCTAAGGCCTCCCACCCCCTGGAAGGAGTGTCTGTGTATTTACCATTGCCAACTTTATGCAACAGCCATAATTTAAACAAATTTTAGGAGACAGAATATCTAAACCACTCCCTCCAACCCCACTGCTAGATTGCAAGCCCTGTGAGGGTGCAAATTATCTCTTACTCATATTTGTATGTCCCAGAATGAGTAGCATGGCACATTAATCTTTAAAAAAAGAAAAAGAAAAAATCCCTAGCGCTAGGTACTAGAGAGCTTAGTGAATGACACCACCAATCTTCAGTCATGGAAGTTAGAAACCCTGGTATCTTCCTGGCACCTTACTTTCCTTCAACCCCTTTATCAGATCTATTACCAAGTCCTTTGCCTTCTACCTTAATCTCCCGGATCTGTCCACATCGCTTCCTCCTTGCCCTCTGTTCTATAATAAATTCTTGTCTGGTCTCTAATCCAGCCTCCCCTCCCCCACCTCACTCCACGCCCTGCCCGGACATGGGGATGTGGGACATGTGTAAACTCTCAGAGATGTAAGACCAATGCTGTGGCCCCTGCTTAGCACACTCCCTTCCCACTGTTCCCAGGGCGAGGACAACACCTTCTTAGTGCAGCTTCAACACCCTGAGTTCTCTCCAGGATCCTGAACCAGACCCCTCCCCCTGCTCTGGGCAGACTGGTCACCTTTCCACCACCTAACTAGGTCACATATCCTCATCAGGGGCTCTGGCGGTACCGGTCCCTCTGTGTCCCAGCACCGCCCCACTGCAGGTATGCACCGCGGGTGTGTGACTATTGGAGGAACCCCCATCTCCCTTCATAAGACAGGACTGGGGTTGCTTCTGCTCACTAGTGTGTCCCCAGCTAGCACACCGCCTGGCATGCGGGAGACACTCAGTGAACATTTATGAAAAATAAACACCTGTGGACTGTCATCACTGGAACCAGTACCATCCATAATCCTTAGGCGTCTGCCTACGCAGGTGGTGGCGAGGGGCTCTCTACGTCTGCGGGACACAAGGGAAAAGGAAAAGCATAGATCCCAACTCAACAAGGCTTTTCTGGCCTCGGACACTTAAGTAAGGCTCGCGGAGGGCACTCAAATATTTATCTGTCTTATTTGTGAACATGGACTGAGGAGAAACCAAAACCTTGCCATTTTCCTAGCAGTGTGGCTGGGGTAGGGGTATCTGACACCAGAAATGCTACCAGTATAGGAGGGAGAATGACCCAACTGTCCCTCAGAGCAGAGCATCAGCCTCTGGACTTCACCACTAGGTCTTGTTTGCTCTCTGCGTGTCAGTGATTAATCCTGTTAGAGAAATTAAAGGGCAGAAAAACGAGACTTTTTCTACATCAGACATCAGGGATGGGCTGAGGGAAAGCCAGGCAGACTGGGAGTCTCTCTGTCTGCCCAAGGCCCCACGTGGGGGACCGAGCGGGAGGCCTGGAGTCAGCCCACTGGCTCTGCGGTGCGCCAGCACCCGAACCTTGGCTTGGGCTGCGTGGCTTCATCTCCATTTATCTGCTTTCTCATCTCTAAACTGAATGACTAAACCTGCTTCAAGGACTATTGAGAGGATTAAATGAAATAATTGATTTAAAAAGCACTTAGTAAGTCTAAGTGTCATACGATGGTGTTGCAGTTAGGAGGGCAGCTCACAATAATAGAGTTGGCCACTGTCCTCAGCTGCTGCCGCCCGGCGGGCCCTGAGGCCGCCTCCCTCCGTCTCACCTCAGGGGACTCCAGGATGCAGAAGCTGAGCAGGGGTGCCCTTGGAGAACCAGCCCACTTGGCAAAGTGAAGGATGATGGCTCTCAACCCTGGGGGGTGGGAGGGGGAGCGGTGAACGTATAAATCCGCTTCACAGATGGGCTGGGAAAGAAGCATCCAGGAGCCCTTAACAGCTTATCTGCTAGGGCTGCTGACTTGGTTACCCTGCCCAGTGGAAATGGGGCAAGTGCAGGAACCCACATCTGTTCGAAGGGAACAGACCTCATATTTTTTAAATAAAGAACATCTATGTTAACATGTGTGCTGGTCCTAAAATGTTATTTTTTTTTTCATTCCAGTCTTGCAGCCATTGCTAGAAGCATTTTTTAAGGCACTCATTTGAGAAGTTCTTTGAAGAGCATATGCCTCATTATTTGGGAATCACTTCAAAAACTGCAAGTACTCATGTTGTTGAAGATGGATTGGGCTTTTTGAAGGAGACAAGATGATTTCGCACAAGCTAATGAATAAGGGGGTCGGCCGGAGACAGAGTCATCGGGTGTCGAAGACAAACCAAAACAAAACCCTGCGTTTTTTTGTTTTTTTTTTTTTAAAGATTTATTTATTTATTTGAGAGAGCGAGAAAGTACGTGAGAGGGGGGAGGGTTAGAGGGAGAAGCAGGCTCCTCGCCGAGCAGGAAGCCCGATGCGGGACTCGATCCAGGGACTCCAGGATCATGACCTGAGCTGAAGGCAGTCGCTCAACCAACTGAGCCACCCAGGTGCCCCAAAACCCTGAGTTTTAACTATAAACACACTCCACAGAATTCTTAGAATAGTTTAAAGTGCTAATTTGGAAGGAAGTTTCCAAAGTACTTCCAAAAAGATCTTGAGCAACAGAACCATCTCCACCCACAAAAATAACTGTCATTTATTGAGTGCTTACTATCTGCCAGGCACTCTTCTTGACACACATTCTATCAAGATTTTGTTTGCTCTCTGCATGTCAGTGATTAATCCTGTTAGAGAAATTAAAGGGCAGAAAAACGAGACTTTTTCTACATCAGACATCAGGGATGGGCTGAGGGAAAGCCAGGCAGACTGGGAGTCTCTCTGTCTGCCCAAGGCCCCATGTGGGCAATTATCCTTAAGTCTATTATACCCATCTTATAAGAAGAGAGGTTAGGTAACTGCCCATGGTCATAACCAGGTAAACAGTAGAACTGTACTTATCTGCATAGAGGTATTTATTGGGAAATCTCTCCTCTCCAAAAAGTTAGCATTCCTTTGAATGAATGCACTCTGATATATTTGGGTTTTTTGAAATTTATCATAATACTCAAGCTTCTCTTAATTGATACAAAAACAGAACACTGCAACAGATATGCAGGATCAATGGAACCTGGGGCCTAAACCACTAGGAACAGGGCTTTGCAAATGTACAGAAATCCCCAATGCCTAGGGGAACCATTATGAGACCCTTTCAAATAGGAAGCAGAAATGAGCCTCATAAAAACCTGGAAATGAGCAACAGATAATGGCATTCATATCCAGATACCATTATGCTTATGTGGAGAATTTAAGCTGGTGATACATAGAATAATTATGTATTATATTTAATTATATAAAAACTGCCCAGCCTAGGTGTTTAAAAGCTGAGTTTAAACCTGGTTCTGGAATCTGCTGACTGGGTAGTGAATTATCCTTCAGGGCCTCAGTATCTTAGTCGCAAAGTGGGGATGACCACATCACCCTCTTTATGGGGTCACACAAGAATCAAATACATATGTTAAGCTATTCCAGTGGTGCCCAGCACACAGTAAGCACTTTATAAATGTTAGATATTATTAGGGGCGCCTGGGTGACTCAGTGGGCTGTGTCTGACTCCTGCTCAGGTCATGATCTCAGGGTCCTGGGATCGAGCCCCGTGTGGGGCTCCTTGCTCAACGGGGAGCCTGTTTCTCCCTTTCCCTCTGCCATTCCCCCCACTTGTGCTCTCTGGCTCTCTCTGTCAAATAAATAAAATCTTTAAAAAAATTTTTTTAAATGTTAGCTATTATTAATATTTATGTACAAATACATTAATTTTCTAAGGGTCATTATCTGAGATAGAGCACAACAGGACAGAGACATTCATATTCTACAAGTGTTCTTAGTCTTTGACAGTGGTGCTTTAATTCAATTAGACTACATCAGGTATGAGTTTTTTGAGCTTTAGGAGGATTTTCCTTGCCAACATTACACAGTGTCTGAAATTAATTAAATGACAGTTGCTAAAGTGGAAAGTTTCCAGGATCATTTCTGTATAATCCCTCAAAAAAGAATAATTTGGCATAGACTCCTTATGAAGATGAATAAACACTTTTTTTTTCCTGTACAGAACTTTGTGATCTTCAAAATATTTGCCTACAGTTTTATTTTTATGACATGAGGCAGCCACAGTCTAAATTTGCAGATCAATAGAATAGATGATAATGTTTTCCACCATGGAATGTTCTCATATCATTAAGTCTGGACTTATTAACAGCCCTATTTACAAATTAATGGAGAGGGGAATTTTCCCTGGTTTCCTAATTTAGAATGCTGATTTCATACAAAATGAGAGAGACTATGTGATGGGGACCCTGGAGTACGTACCAACAGTGGGAAGTGTCTGCTTTTGCCCCCAGAGCCCTGCCTTTGCCCCTATCTTACAATGAGAATGAGGCCAGGGAATGTTCCGCTGGGGCTTTCTGTAAATTGTAGCTAACTCAATGGCCACCAGAAGTAGAACCCCAAAGGCGGAGCCTCACAGCCCCAATGCAAAAAAAATGGCAACTGGGTATCATTAACATACTACAGTTTATCCAGACGTTAAGTGTATTACGGATGAAATAGGCTTTTGTCCAATTACCTGGGAAGCCAACCACTAAAATAGTCTTTTCTGTGGGACAATGCCTGCCGAGTTCCAAATAATCAATCTGCAAATGAACTTCTGGATGTAAGTGTTTATAAATTCATGGTTATTTGGTTTAATTTGAAACCCTCTTGCAGCTCATGCCAATCATGCAGCTTTTACTTGGTTACCTCTCCAGGAAAACCTGTGAAGACTAAACAGAATTACTGATGGTTTTATTACTATCTCAGATTCTTTATATGTGATCTAAATAAAATATTTTTCATCTGCCACATAACTGACAGCTTTTCTAGTAAGACCAGAGAAAATTCATTATACTGCACCTGTATTATTACAACGTTTCTTATATTTAAAATTTTGCCTTTATGGGCTTTAAAGAATGAGTATGTTAGTTAGCCTAACTTTACATCAATGTTTCTTTTCATCTTATTTTGATCTTTGCCTCAAACACTCTGATACCATCCCAATGTGAAAATATATGTACCTCCATTGGCCTTCCCCAAAATACTCCTCTCCCTACAAATCCTCCCAGAATCTATGCACTGGATTAGGTTTTTCTGCAACTCTCAGTTACAGAGATGCTGAAAGTAATCTAAGGTGTTTGTATAAATGGGCGATAGAAAAATGGAAATAGCACAAGAGCTGATTAAAGCTAAATTTAAAATTAGATGGGTTGCCTTGATTAATGGCATAGCAACAGTGATGACTGATGGGTGGAGAACATCCCAATCCACACTAATCTAGATTCCGGAGCTCTGAGAGTGAAGGACTCTCATCCCTACCTTAAAATTAATTTTTCAGAAAAAGCTCCCCCAGAGAAACATTTAGAAAGACTAAACAATTCTGGCAGCATGATCTACCTGATAAGAGTAACTTTGTAATTTTAACTTTTTCAAACCTAATTCACTCTGTAGGAAGAGACAGCCAGTTACTGAACTAAGGCAGGGCCTCAGGTAAAGTACAAGTTCATCTAAATAGGGGAATTAAGCACACAGATCCTAAAAGTTTTAGAGAACACTGCAGGATGCCCTGCTGCACCATTCCAAAAATCTACATTTGTTCAGGTACACTGATCAGGACAAGGAACATTTGCACATTTATTGAAAGGAAATTAAATGGCAGGCGTCATTATGTGACTTGAATGTTACATTCTACACTTTACATAGTAATTTCCAAGACTTTATATTGGGGGGAAAAGAAAAATAGAGAACTTACTATCTTCCGTGGTTTTCTTAGGGCCATACAAGGCAAATCCTTCATAAGAAGTGCCAAGCTTCTGACAGGACAGTGGTAGACTGAATGAGATGTCCAATGAGAAATTTTATTTTTCAACTGTGATACATAGTTGTAAATAACTTTTTAAAAATTTGCTTCATGTGTTAGCCTGGAGCATCCTATAGCGCTAGAGGGGGTTGGGGTGCATAGAAAGAACACAGAAGCCAATCTGAACGAGCTCCTGATGGCCACGGCTGGAACCATTTAAGTAAAACATTAAATTAGGATAGTATTGGATTATAACCCAAAGAATAAAGTAAGTATCTATGAGACCATATTGCTATAAATAAATGACTGGATAAATAAATAAAAGGAGGAAAAGGCACAACTGTGCTTTACAGAAGAATTCCAACTCATGATTGTAGGATGAACGAAGGAAATAGAAAACTCACCATTACAGAACCACAGGAATAATTGCTACAGCCAGGATTCCCTGGAGAATGCTCAAGTTAGTGGGTGAAAGTGTAAGTCGCATGGTTTCAAAATATCTTCCCCCAGGTGTTTCTTAATTACAAAAAAAAAAAAAAAAAAAAAAAAATCTCCAGCAGAGAAACTACCTTAACCAAGAAAGTTGACATCATCAGTAACAAGTCACATAGCTGTGAACCTGCACAGAGAGGGCACGTCACCTATGTGGATTCTCCCCCAAAATGCATAACCCCAATCCAATCATAGGGAAACAGGAGAAAAACCCAAATCGAGGGGCATTCTACATATCACCTGACGCATTACCCTTTAAAAGTGTCAGCGCCAAGAAACACAAGATTAGAAGACATTAAGGAGCTCCCAGCAAGTCAACTAACATGCAAGGGGGGGATCTCAGAATGGATCCTGGAACAGAAAAAGGGCATTGGTTGGAAAATTGCTAAATATAAACGAAGTCTGTGGTTTATAGTATTGTGCCAATGTCAGTTTCTTAGTGTTGATCACTATCCCACGCCTATGTAAGTTGTTAAACTCAGGAGTAGCTGGGTAGGGGCTATCCTCTCTGTATTACTTTTACGACTCCTCTGTTCAGTTGAAAATCATTTCAAAATAAAAAGTTAAAAACCACATAAATCAGAGCGCCTGGGTGGCTCAGTTGTTAAGCCTCTGCCTTTGGCTCAGGTCATCATCTCAGGGTCCTGGGATCGAGCCCCACATTGGGCTCCCTGCTCCATGGGAAGCCTGCTTCTCCCTCTCGCACTCCCCCTGCTTGTGTTCCCTCTCTCGCTGTGTCTCTGTCAAATAAATAAATAAAATATTTTTTAAAAAAGACACATAAATGATTGAAAAATTGCCTAGCTGCTGGCTTTGTATCCAAACTGAGTTATATCTTGAAGGATGAACAGAAGTTAAACAATGACAATGAGGACACCTTGATCTTCCTAGCCAGCATGGTGATCTTTAATAGATGTTCTTAAGTTCATTGACTTGCTAACCTTCCTTGTGTATCTAGAAATCTTATATTCCTTTCTAGGAGGAGAAAAGAAAGCCCTTGCCCATCACAGAACAGGAATTAGATCTCTTACACAATCCTCAAGCACTGAAAGCTATAAATAGGCACCACTAAATCTACACAGAATCAGCAAATGTTAGAGGCCACTGTGCCCCTTTACTGATCAATGACCCCCTCACCCTTTAAAGCCCTCTTGGCAAGGCAAAAACCACAGCGTTGGCTTTTGGACAAGAGTCAGACTTGCACCCGGGTGGCCAGCCTCCTGAATAAAGCTTATATTCCTTTCCAGTCAACACTCGTCTCTTGAGTATTGGCCCTTCTAGTGATGGGCAGCTTAACTTTGGATTCAGTTACAAAAATGGGGAACATAGCCAACTTAGATAAAAGAAGAATGAATTGTGGGGGGGGAAGATGGCAGAGGAGTAGGGGACTCTATTTCAACTGGTCCCCGGAATTGAGCTGGATATCTACCAGACCACTCTGAGCACCCACAAAACCAGCCTGAGATGTAAGATCTGGATCTCTACAAACAGAATATCGCAGGCAGTTGGTTTTGAGGTAGAAAGTGGAGAGCTGTGATTCTGCGGGCAGAAATCGGAGGATAAACAGCAGCAGGAGGGAGCCTGGCCGTGGGGATCCTACACCGCCAGTGAGTGACAGCCTCGCGCTGCAGAAGGGCACAGACTCACAGACCAGTAGCGGCAGGGAAAGGACTTTAGGGCAGCCCCCAGGGCGGAATCCCGGAGCAGCGGGGTCGCACGCATGCAAACTGGGAGCAGCTGGCAGTTTTAGAAGCACAAAGGGCAGAGACGTGCCCCGACCTGGAGGCAGGACTGGGAGCGCTGCGGAGGGGCGCACAACCCAGGACGCTGCAGTTTATAGCAGCTCAGACAGAAACAGAGACAGTGTGGCCTGGAGAGCTCACTGAAAAACAGACTGTGATCTCTCTGCTCTGAGGCAGAGGGTTGGAAATGGTCTCTTCTGCTCTGACTCACGGAAGAGACGCAGAAAGCCGCCAGGGAAAGGCACCAGAGAACAAAAGCCCCAAAAACTGATTCCCGCTGAGCCCATCCCCCGCCACAGGGGGTAGGGCAACTCCAACCGAACAGGGTTGCCTGGTAACAGTGCAGCAGGCCCGTCCCCCAGAAGACAGGCTGGGAAAACAAGAGGCCAGCAACCCTAAGGTCCCAAGAAAACAGGTGCATCTTGCTTGGGTTCTGGTCAATAATTTGGACTCTGTACATTCCCTCAAACACCCATCAACAGAATGACTAGGAGGAGGAGCCCCCAAAACAGAAAAGACTCAGAGATTATGACTTATGCTGCAGATTTACAAATGGATGCAGACATTACCAAGATGTCGGAGATGGAATTCAGGCTAGCAATTGTGAAGACAATGGCTAGAATGGAGAACTCAATTAATGGCAACATAGAGTCTCTAAGGGCAGAAATAAAAGGTGAATTGGCAGAACTTAAAAATGCAATCAATGAGATCCAATCCAATCTAGATAATCTAACAGCTACGGTAATTGAGACAGAAGAGAGAATAAGCGATCTGGAATACAGTATAATAGATAAAAAGGGAAAAGAGGAGGCCAGGGAGAAACAACTCAGAATCCATGAAAATAGAATCAGAGAAGTAAGTGACACCATGAGGCATTCCAATGTCAGAATAATTGGAATCCCGGAGGGAGTGGAGAGAGAGAGGACTGGAAGATGTATCTGAGCAAATCGAAGCTGAGAACTTCCCTAATCTGGGGAATGAAACAAACATTCGAGTCCTAGAGGCAGAGAGGACCCCTCCCAAGATCAAGGAACAAAGGCCAACACCCTGGCATGTAATAGTAAAACTTGCAAATCTTAGAACCAAGGAAACCATCTTAAGGGCAGTTAGGGGGAAGAGATTCCTTACGTACAGAGGGAGGAACATCAGAATAACGTCAGACCTATCCAAAGAGACCTGGCAAGCCAGAAAGGCCTGGCAAGACATAGTCAGGGTACTAAATGAGAAGAACATGCAGCCAAGAATACTTTATCTGGCAAGGCTTTCATTTAGAATGGATGGAGAGATGCAGAGCTTCCATGACCAGCAGAAACTGAAAGAATATATGACCACTAAGCCAGCCCTGCAAGAAATATTAAGGGGGGTTCTATAAAAGGAGAAAGACCCCAAGAGTGATCTACAACAGAAATTTACAGGGACAATCTATAAAAACAACATCTTCACAGGCAACATGATGACAATTAATTCATATCTTTCAATAATCACTCTCAACGTGAATGGCCTAAATGCTCCCATAAAACGGCACAGGGTTGCAGACTGGATAAAAAGACAGGACCCATCCATATGCTGTCTACAAGAGACTCATTTTGAACCTAAAGATACATCCAGACTGAAAGTGAAGGGATGGAGATCCATCTTCCATGCCAGCGAACCTCAAAAGAAAGCTGGGGTAGCAATTCTTATATCAGACAAATTAGATTTTAAACTAAAGTCTGTAATAAGAGACACAGAAGGACACTATATCATTCTTAAAGGGTCTATCCAACAAGATCTAACAATTGTAAATATCTATGCCCCCAACATGGGAGCATCCATCTACATAAGCCAACTGTTAACCAAAATAGTCATATTGATAACAATACATTAATTGTAGGAGACCTCAATACTCCACTCTCAGCAATGGACAGATCATCTAAGCAGAAAATCAACAAGGAAACAAGAGCTTTGAATGATACATTGGACCAGATGGACCTCATAGATATTTACAGAACATTCCACCATAAAACAACAGAATACTCATTCTTCTCGAGCGCACATGAACTTTCTCCAGAATAGACCATATACTGGGTGACAAATCAGGTCTCAACCGATACCAAAAGATTGAGATTATTCCCTGCATATTCTCAGACCACAATGCTCTAAAACTGGAACTCAATCACAAGAAACAATTTGGCAGAAATTCTAACACTTGGAAGCTAAAGACCACTCTGCTCAAGAATGTTTGGGTCAACCAAGAAATCAAAGAAGAACTTAACAATTCATGGAAATCAATGAGAATGAAAACACATCGGTCCAAAACCTATGGGATACTGCAAAGGCGGTCCTAAGGGGGAAATACATAGCCATCCAAGCCTCACTCAAAAAAATAGAAAAATCCCGAATTCACCAACTAACTCTACACCTTAAAGAGCTAGAGAAAAAGCAACAAACGACGCCTAAGCCATGCATTAGAAGAGAAATAATTAAAATTAGAGCAGAAATCAATGAATTAGAAACCAGAAACACAGTAGATCAGATCAATGAAACTAGAAGTTGGTTCTTTGAAAGAATTAATAAGATTGATAAGCCACTGGCCAGACTTATCCAAAAGAAAAGAGAGGACCCAAATTAATAAAATTATGAATGAAAGGGGAGAGATCATGACTAACACCAAAGAAATAGAAACAATTATTAGAAATTATTATCAACAACTATATGCCAATAAACTGAGTAATTTGGATGAAATGGATGCCCTCCTGGAAACCTATAAGCTGCCAAGACTGAAACAGGAAGAAATTGACAAACTGAATAGGCCAATAACCAGTAATGAGATTGAAGCAGTGATCAAAAACCTCCCAAAAAACAAGAGTCCAGGGCCTGATGGATTCCCTGGGGAATTCTACCAAACATTCAAAGAAGAAATAATACCTATTCTACTGAAGCTGTTTCAAAAAATAGAAACAGAAGGAAAACTTCCAAACTCATTCTATGAGGCCAGCATTACCTTAATCCCCAAACCAGGCAAAGACCCCATCAAAAAGGAGAATTTCAGACCAATATCCCTGATGAATATGGATTCCAAAATCCTCAACAAAATCCTAGCTAATAGGATCCAACAATACATTAAAAGGATCATCCACCACGACCAAGTGGGATTTATCCCCGGGATACAAGGGTGGTTCAACATTCGCATATCAATCAATGTGATAGAACACGTTAATAAGAGGAGGGAAAAGAACCACATGGTCCTCTCAATTGATGCAGAAAAAGCATTTGACAAAATACAACATCCTTTCCTGATTAAAACTCTCCAGAGTATAGGGATAGAGGGAACATTCCTCAAGCTCATAAAATCTATCTATGAAAAACCCA